GGAATACTAATTCTTAGCTACTATTAGTATCATAAATGGAATACTAATTCTTAGCTACTATTAGTATCATAAATGGAATACTAATTCTTAGCTAGTATTAGTATCATAAATGGAATACTAATTCTTAGCTAGTATTAGTATCACTATCTCAACAGAACTGAATTTATGTAGGTACCAACTATATTTTCAAATTTTCCTTATTCTTAATGCTCTAGTATCTAGGGTAGTAATTTTTAACTGGTGTGCTGAGAAATTTTTGAAGATCATTAATTAAATTATTTTTGAAAGAAGTTCAAAGCATAGTAAGTATGTTCTTTTTTCTGCTTTTTTTTTTTTGATCAACATAATTTAAGTGTGCTGTGAAGATTAACTATAGGTTCTCATGTGCTGTGAGATAAAAAAGAGTGAAAATCACTGCGTAGGGCCTTGCTGATCAGGGAGGGATCTCCCTTCCAGGGCGACAACTCACTGGGAAGGGCGCCCTTTCCCAAACAAACCTACTAGTCCAAGTTCACGTCCTCCCATTACCTCCTTTGTGTAGCTTTAACACACCAACTCAATATCTCCCATCCCGATCAACCCAGGACTAGACACCCTGCCCTTAGAGACTCTGCACCTAGAGACAGCACCTATGCCCCAGAACCCACTAAAATTCCTCACATTAGCCATCGTAACAATCCAGGGCTAGACACCCTGCATCTAGAGATAGCACCCACCTACGCCCCAGAACCCACTCACAATCCTCACACCAGCCATCCTCAATCTGCACCCACCCACGCCCCAGAACTCAACTCACAATCCTCACACCAGCCATCCTCAATCTGCACCCACCCACACCCCAGAACCCACTGATGTTCCTCACACCAGCCATCGTGAATCTGCACCCACCTATGCCCCAGAACCCACTGACATTGTTCACACCAGCCATCCTCAATCTGCACCCACCTACACCCCAGAACCCACTGACGCTGCTCACACCAGCCATCCTCAATCTGTACCCGCCTACGCCCCAGAACCCACTGACGCTGCTCACACCAGCCATCCTCAATCTGCACCCACCCATGCCCCAGAACCCACTGACGCTGCATACCAGCCATCCTCAATCTGCACCCACCCACGCCCAGAACCCACTGATGTTCCTCACACCAGCCATCCTCA